ATTAATAATGTCGGCCATTATACGCGAAAAAAAAGAAAATGACGGAATGTGTTTGATTAAACGAGACTTTATAGAGTGACATTAAATCTCGCTATTATTTTTCAAAATATTATTATTGTTGTTGTTGTTGACCTATCATATTAATAACGCTAAATTGTTTGTCGTTTGTTATTTATTTATTTATTTCTTTTACCACGTTTAAAAAAGTGTGTCAGTTTATCGCGGGTTTTATTTATTATTTGTTATGAAAATCGTTATGATACGAATACCCGTAAATAAATAAATAAACAAACAATCGTGGTAACGAACGCGAGATTTTTTTTGTTTGTTTGTTTGTTTTGTTTATAATAAAGATACAAACAATAATAATGATAATAATAATAATAATAATAAATGGAAGAATTAAATATAAAAAAAAATCGTGCAATCAAATTTCCCGCCGAATCGATTTCTTTCGAAATTTTTTTTTTTTTTTTTTTAAAGAAGAAAATAATAATAATAATAATAATAATAATAATAATAATAATAATAATAATAATAATAATAATAATAATAATAATAATAATAATAATGATAATGATTGATTTTCGAGGTTCGGTGGTCAATTTAAAAAAAAAAAAAAAAACGAACTGAAATTTCATAAAAAAAAAGTTATGAAATAAAAATTTGAAGGTTAGGCTAATTGAAATCAAGGGGGAAATAATAAATAAATATTTTACTTAGTTACGAGAATTCCTGTACATATAATTTTTACGTAGGCAAAAAATTTTTTTTTTTTACCGGATTTATATTAATAATAATGATGATGATGATGATGATGAAAATCGTTAATTTTTTTTTTATTGGTTGGGTGGCGCGAAAAATTATGAGCAATGAAAATTTTCCGAGTTTTTTTTTTCTTTTTTTTTTTAATGAGAAAATTAAAACGATCGTAAAGATTTTATGAATTAATAATAAATACATACATGTATATATGTTTATTAAAAAAAAAAAAAAAAACGTGGCATTAATTTTTTTTTTGCCGCCTTTTTTTTTTGTATAAATTTTTACCGGATGTCGTTTATCGATCGAAAACCGTGAAAATCAATGAAACGAATGAAAAATAATAAAAATATGAAAAATGTATTTGTTGGTGGGGGAGGGGGGGAAATCAATGCTCCCTATTTAACAAAAAAAAAGTAGGCTTTCGTAAAATAAACTAAACGTGGTATTAGAAATAATGTTTATCATTATTATCATTATTATTTTTTCGTGAGGTTTTTTTTGACCGAAAAAAAAAAATGTAAAACAAACGTTCGTTTTTGACAAAAAAATTCTTTTTTTAAAATGGGAAAGAGTAGATCGTTAACATGTTTGTTCTGCATCATCTTAGTCATATTTAATAGTCATCATCATCATCATCATCATCATTATCATTATCATCAAGTGACCTCAACTTTTAAGACGAGAATTTAAAAAAAAAAAAAAAAAAAAAAAAAAAACGTTTGTGCCATTTTTGTGGTAAAAACGGTAAAAAAAAAATTTACTAAGACTTAAGGATAATTACTTTTGGTTGTTCTCGTTGTTGTTGTTGTTGTTGTGGTTGTTTTTGTTATTGTTATTGTTCTAGATGATTCTATTATTAGATTGATGCCCACGTTTTTATTTTATAACAAATTTACCACCTACTTATATATCGATCACCTTGAATAAATTTGTTTCCGCGATTTTTTTTATTTTTTTATTTGAGTTGTTGGTAATACTGGATTCTTATAATTTTTAAAAATAATCTACAACCATTATTATTATTATTATTATTATTATTATTATTATTATTATTATTATTATTATTATTATTATTATTATTATTATTATTATTATCATTGAATTTTATTTATTTTGTTAAAAAGCGTGAGAAAAAAAAATATTTTCGTGATTATTTTAAAATGAAAGGCAAAAAATATTTTTTTGTCTGCTTTGATTTTTCTCTTGAATGGCATTTAAAAAAAAAAATCGAACGAAATTATTTTCAAGGTGTTGTGTATCAAAATTATTAAATTATTATTATTATTATTATTTTTTTTTATTTGAAAGAAAGAGAGAGAGAGAAAGAAACAGAGAGAGAGAGAGATTTGAAATTTAGTCAAATGTTTGTTATTTGCGCGACTTGTTATGTATTACAGTGACGTCATAATTGTCGTAAACATTTAAAATTTTCTTTATTCGAACGATTCGAGCGCGTACATTTTAATGTTAATCGTTTTTTGTTTTAAAAAATAAAATCTATTGAAAATGTTTATTTACTATGAAAAATATTTTTTTTAAAAACAAAACAATGGTTAAAAAAATTCTAAAGACTAATAAATATTCAAAATGCGAAATCTTCATTACAAAAAATTGGCAGTAAAAAAAAAACACACACACACACACACACATACACAATTCATTGAACGCACGATTTTTCTTTTTTTTTTTTTTCTCGAAGGACTTTTTTGTTAAGGCGTGTGTTGTTTGTTATATTCGATTACTTAAAACGGTTTAAGAAAAAAAAAAAAAATTTTTTTTTTTTTTAAATTTTCATCAGGTTTTTTTTTTTAACGAATAACGTAGTATTATTATTAATTTATTTTTCTCTTTTAAAGAGGCGGGGGGAGAGAGTGGGTAGGTGGGAGGAAAAGGGGAAGTCTCGAGATAATTCGGCAACGAGTTGTGAAAAACATTTAAAAAATTTTTTTTTCCTTTTTGCTCGTCATCGTCATTAAACACACACACACAAAAAAAAATGGTACACGTTCCTTAATTATTATTATTATTATTATTATTATTATTATTATTATTATTATTATTATTATTATTATTGTTTTAAAAAAACATAAAAAAATTTACTCATTGTGTCCGAGAAATGCGCGTGAAAAACGATTTAATTAATTAATTAATTAGCATTGATCGATTCTTAATCGACTGTGATTTTTTGTAAATAGAATGTAAATAATAATGATAATTAACGCTTTAGGCAAATGATGACGGTTATAATGATAATGATAATGACGACGACGATGTTGACGATTATGACGTATGACGACGGTTATTATTAATAATGATAATGAGTGGTAAAAGAAAGTAATAATTATAAATTTTGTTTTTCGGCAATCAAAACGACGAAAGTTTTCTTTCTTTCTCTCTCTCTCTCTCTCTCTCTCTCTCTCTCTCTCTCTCTCTCTCTATCTATCTATCTCTATCTAACTATATATCTTTCTCTTTTTTTTTTTTGGTAGAGTAATGTAAAAACGAAAGTGATTTATTATTTATTTATTTTTGTAGAATTTAAAAATTTAAACAAAAAAGAAAAAAAAAAAACGCGATTAAAAATTTTATAAATTAAAACTCACGAAAGGAAGAAACGTGAAAAGAATATAAAATATTATCGCCTCCTCCTCACTTCTCCCCCGCCCCACTCCCACCTCGCGATTACATTGTTTTACGTTGATAGCATAAGAGCAAATAGAATCGAAATCGAATTCGAATTCGAAAAAAAAACGTTAAATTTTTTCGACGTTAAAACGTGTCACCGCGAAAGAAAAAAAAACTTTTCCTTTTCTCTCTCTCTCTCTCTCTCTCTGTTTGTGTGTGTGAATTATTTGCAAAATTTCATTATTATTATTATTATTATTACGTAATAATTTATTGTTATTGTTTTTTTTTTCCACGTTGCAACGGTTGAAAAAGTTGCATTTTAATTATAGATTTGCAAACAATATTTAATATTACGAATAAGTTCTTTCCCGTGTTTGTTTGTTCGCTTGTTTGTTTGTTTGTTTGTTTGCGATTCGCCATTTGTTCGGTTTTTTTTTATTTAAAATTTTCATAATGGTAACGCAAAATTACCGTAATCAAAATGTAATAATAATAATAATAATACCGCGATAATAAATTAATTTATATGATTGTTACGTAGTGATATTCGACCCGATAAAAAAAACTTTTTTTCGAGAACAACGCGTTTACTTTATTATTATTATTATTATTGCGGTTGTTGTTGTTTTTCGTTAACGAAAATGGATACGAATTTAATTTTGTCGATTTCGAAAAAAAAAAAAAAATTTAAAAGGTTTTCAATACCTAAAACGTTTTTTTTTTTTTTTTTTTTTGTTTTCCTTTTCGAATTATAAGATGGGGCCGTCGAACCCCCCATAAAAATATTTTAAAAGAAGTAAACAAATGAAAACCTTTGATTTCGAAAATGGCCGGGGAAAAAAAAAACCTTTTAACGGTTTTAAATTTCTTTTAGATTTTATTATGTAAAATTCTTTTTTTTTCTAAACCGGATGTTATTCAAAAAAAAAATTTTTTTTTTATTCATGCTTTAAAAATCGTTAATGCATTTTTAATTTTGGAAAATTTCGACAAAATAATAATAATAATAATAATAATATTAACGTGGGGTCATTGTGTTGTTTTTCATAGTAAATTTGAACGGAAAAAAGAAAATTTTTTTTTTTTTTTTTTTTAATAACTCGAAATGGATTTTTTATCGGTGTCAAAATCAAATATTAAATAAGATTCAGTCGTGTCAGTAGAAAAAAAATTATTTCGATAGTTTTTTTTTTTTTTCGATTTGTTTATATTGTATTTGTCGCGGATGACGCGAATCACGCGATTTTTTTTTATTAATAAAAATTCGAATCACGACCGTTAAAATTTTTTTTTTTAAAATAAAGTATTATTATTATTATTATTATCATTAATCGTATGTTACGTTATTCGAAAGCATAATTTTCAAAACAATTTTGTTTCTTTGAAAAACACTTTTAAAAAAAATTTTAACGGTTTTTCTTTCTGAAACATCTGTTAAAATTTTTTTTTTTTTAATTGTTTTTAATAATAATGATAAGATAAAATTAAATTTTGGCGCGACATTGCGCAACGATTTAAATGAATATCACGTGAGAAATGTCAGTCAGTATTTAAATTTTTGAAGGTGAAATAATTGGGAAAAAAAAATGGCGAAACAAAATAAAAACTTACCCCCTTGGAGATGGATGACGATCCGTTGAATCAGATTCATATCCTAAATTATCTTGTGCTTCACTTGCCGGCGGCGTTGAATTCGTCGTTTCCGTTTCCGGTATTTGTTGTTGTTGTTGTTGGTTCTGTTGAACGAGTGTTGCTTCACTAATAGATCTTGTTCTTCCTCCCGGTAATGATGCCGGTCTACTCCTTGTCCTTCTCCTTTGTGACCTATTTTGTTCGTTTCCACTCGATCTATTCGTTTGCTGCTGTTGCTGTTGTTGTCCATCACTACTTCCCGTTTCGTTCAAACGATTATTAATAACGTTTTGTTGTAACACACCGGATTCACTTTCGTCACTTTCAACTTGAATGCGTAAACTATCGGGAGGAGCACTTCTTATTCTAATTGGATCCTCTAAATTAAAATGTCTAACTCTTCTCATGGATTGTCTCAACCAGCTGGAAACTCCGCTTGATCCACCGTCATCGACAGAAGGTTTGCAAGGCATATCCTCATTGCAAATAATACTCTCGACAACTCGACAATCACTGTTTACAACATTATTAACTTCGGTATCACTCATTCGTGGAGACGATGACCTATTGCGCATGCGTTCCTCTTCGTCATTTTGCCAACTTAAATCAACGAAAAACACAAATAATTAGTCATTTTATTTATTTATTTTTTTTTTCCCCGAAAAAAAAAACACGTATCATAGTTTTGTTAAATTTAGAAAATGACGTAATTAATTAATTAATTAATTAATAAACAATATAAAATAAATTATTAAAAAAAAAAATTTATATTACTTTTGATCAGGTTGAGTTTGACATTCAGCATCAACTCTCGATGATTGATCAGGGCCATCCGAATTTAAATTGCTTATGGCATCTTCCAGCCAACTCCAGTCAATGCAATCGTTAAAACTGGAAAGAAACAAAACTACTAGTAATAATTACAGGTAATTATTATTATTATTATTTTTTTTTTTTTTATTCAAAGAAAATTATTATTTCGCAAGTTCAAAAAGTGTAAAAAAAAAAAAAAACTTTTGCCGTTACTTATCTGTAACAAGTTTTTTTTTTTTGAAAAGATAATTATTATCATTATTATTATTTTTAATTAGCGTAATTAACAAAACCTTAATTAATTTGTACCTGAAGTTTGTTTAACAAAACTAAAACTTCACAGTTTAGAGTTTGAGAAAAAAAAAAAAAAAAAAATTTAAATTCTTTCGACCGTATACGATGTTAAATTTTTTACACACGGGGGAACCCGAAAAAAATTTTAACGGTTTTTCTGTTTCCGGTCGAAGAATTTTGTCGCCAAAAATTAAAAAGCGGCGGGAAAAAATTTTTCGAAAAATTATTTTTTTATTATTATTATTATTATTTTTTTTTTTTCAAACAAATTCGAGGAAAAAAAAAATGAAAGGTATTTTTACCACAATCAGGTACGACTCGTAACGATTCGAAAAAAAATGGGAGAACGGTAGAGAGAGGGGGAGGGGAGGGGAGGGGAGGAGGGGGATAAAAGAATTTTTAACAATCGAACCATGGTCATATATATATATATTTTTTTTAACGAATTATGTCTGAAATTCGAGGTTATGTCAATTTATTTTTAAATATCAAGGAAGTAAGAAAATAAAATTATTAAATTTTTTTGGGTGTGTGTTTGTGTGTGTGTGTTGTAAAACGTTCGATTCGATTCGAGATTATTGTTATTATTATTATTATTATTATGGTTTGATCAAACTCCAGGCGATAACGCCGCGTAATATCGTTGTTTAAACAAAAGAAAAAAAAAAAAAAAAAACTTTTTTTTTGTTTGTTTGCCAAGATGTTCTTCAAATGATTACATAATGTAATTCTACTACTACCATTTGAACTTAAGTCCGTTGTTTTGAGTTACATTAAAAACGTAACCTTACAAATATTATTATAAGGACTAATATATAATAATTTACGCGTTGGATCAACTAAAAAGAAAAAATTATCAAGGTGTTGTTGTTGTTGTTGTGGTTGTCGTTAGTAAAAGTAGACCAAAGAGGAATTACTTGTTTTTTTTTTTTGTTTCGGTTGTTTTCTTTTGCTTTTTATCACGGTTTTTATCGCGATTTTTAATTGACACAAGTTCTGGTTCGTTTTGCACTTGGCAAACAGGTTAAGAAAGGAAAACAATGGAAAAAAAAAAAAAAAAATGTTTCGTAATTTCTGCAGGTGGTATTAGAGAAAACGTTACCGGAATCACGGTACAATTAAGTTCATTATTTTTTTTTTTTCGTTGTTAGTCATTTGAAATTAAAATTTACGAGAGGTTAATAATCAGAAGGAGGAGGAGGTATTTAGTATTCGTTGTTTATTCCGGTTTTGTTATTTCCTTTTGCGTCAGTATCGATACGATATAGACCTCCTCAAATTATAGAATGAGAGAAGTAAGGATATTATACTTTACCTGAGTTTTGAATGCGTCGGTGAAATTTCGCCATCCTCGTTTGTACGATTCGATAAACTACATGGATTTGAATCGTTTGAATCGCTCACGATGGAAGGTGATTCCAGAGAAAAACGCACTCCCCCACCATTTATTTCCGATTGTGGTCTTTGGTTTAAACTTACACTGCTTGATACTTTTGGTTCTATCATAGATGATCTATCGTATGCTAAACCGATACATGAATAAGTCGCGGGTTTGGATGGAAAATCGTTGTCGATTTGAAAAGGACATGGTGATGATGATGATGATGATTCCATTTCTTTTAATATTTTATCTCCTCGTTTTTTATACCTGCTACCTAATTCGATCATCGACATCCTTTGTTTTCCTCTTTTCAATAATTTTTCCAATTTGTATTTTTCAACAAATGATTTTGATTTTATCCTTTGGTTTTTCCAATAATCATCTTCGTACGATTCGTTCACCCGAGCGTCGTACGACGATCGCGGATTTTTTAAAACGTTTTCATCATCATTTTCCGATTCTTCATCGTATGCTAAATTCACTCGACTTCCATCGTCATCATCATCGCGGTCGTCGTTTTTCGTAAAATTATTTAAAAAACAATTATTTCCGTTTATTGTGAGTGTAGGTTCCGCCACTGTTTGACAATTTTTTCCGACTAAATCCGTGCACAAAGTTCCCATTAAATCATTTAATTCTTTATCGATATCTAAACTATTGTTCGATTCGAACTTACGATCGCGTCCTTCAATCAAATTATCAACTTTCGAACCTGACTTTTTACTATTTTTATATTCTTTTTCAACGTCTTGGACAAAATTCGATAACATCGTATCGGTTTTTTTTTTTAACGCCGCGTTCACGTCGAAATCCGAATCAGGGCCGTAACGAATAACGTCATTAATATTATTATCGTTTTCGTTATCGGATAATAAATCGTCATTGAAATTGTTGATTTGTTCGTCTCGTAATCGTTTCGCATCGGATTTTATTATTATTCCTGGATACGATTCCTCTACGTCATCATCCCCCGAACGATTGTCTATCGAACTATCGGATTCTGAAAAATTAATCACTGCCGTATCCATATCGATAAGAAGTTTACAATTGCTATTCACTTTAATCAATCTCCTCGACGTGTGTTCGACGTTTGTTTCGTTTTCGCCATGCACGTAAACAACCGAAGCTCGCGTTACATTCAAATTACTATTACTATTATTATTATTATTATTACTGTTTGTTGCCGTGTCGTCATTTTCTATTCGTTCAAACGACAATTCGTCGTTTGGAAAAGTCGCAAAGTTTTCTCCATTATTATCAACGTTTTTATCATCATATCCCAAAACAGGTTCCCAACGCACATCCTTTTTCTTGTATTCTTTTTCCGATTTTCTATTTCCTGAACAACAACAACAACAACAAATTATTATTATTATTATTATTATTATTATTATTATTAATATTAATATTATTCAATAATTTAACATATTTATTTAATTCCGGTTTTTCGTAATTTAAAAAAAAAAAAAAAAAAAAACGTAAATTTTTTAAATCCTTAAAAGGACTTTATAATAAGAAGGTCGTTTAGTGTTTGTTGGATCGCGCGCACACACACACGGGTTAACAGTTTGTTTGTCATTAACTATCTGACTAAGATGTTTTTCCTGTTTTATCAGCTACATATCTGAGTACTACTCATATGGTGGGTATCCTTTTAAACCACGATCGGAAATTTTAATTTTACATACCGACGCGAGACGACGACGAAAAAAACGACGTGTCAATAACAGAAAAAAAAAAAAAAAAAGATTTTTTAAAAATTAAATATTTCCTGTTAATTCGTTAGTTAATTAATTAATTAATTAATGAACAAGTGAAAAACAAAAGGATTTTTTTATTAATCACGTGATTACGGACAAAGACGAAATATGTAATTTTCATACGTTTGAAAAACAATGTAATGATAATAATAATAATCGAATCGTTAATCGAACGTTTTACATATATATATATATATATATCAACGTTAATTTTGTAAAAAAAAATTTTTTTTTTTTAATTGTCGGCGCGATCGCGATGTCCTAAATAAAATTTTTTATACTTTATTAAGAACGACACACTAATGAGTGCGTGAGTGCGTGAGTGTGCGTGTGCGTGTGCGTTTATGCATGCGAACATGCAGAAGAAAAAAAAAAAGCAAAACTCGTTTCTCCTCTTTTAATCTATCTTCACGTCGCCATTTTGTAAAAAAATTACAACGAAGAAAGTTTTTTAAATTTTTATTTTATCATTATTATTATCTCTATGATAATAATTAAACCGTATTAATTGCAGACGAAAAAAAAAAATTTGTTATTTTTAACGGTTTTTTTTTTTACTCTATGATCACGCGAGAAAATTTCTTTTCGAATTCTGCGATATTTTCCAATTTTGGTATTACGTAATTGAATTGAATGATAATCGTAATTATTATTATTATTATTATTATTATTATTATTATTATTATTATTATTATTATTATTATTATTGTTTTTTTTTACGTGGGTTTTAAGAAAAAAAATGAAAAGTAGATCACAACCGTAAATGAATTTCACTCGCGACCTATACGAAACAAACAAACAAACGAACAAACAACAATAGTTATTTTGAATAAATTTTTTTTCTTTTTTTTCATCCTATTTTATTATTCAAAAATTTTTAATAAAAACAAACAAACAAACAAACAAATTAAATATCGTTTAAATATATATATCTATTAAATATCGTCTGCTGGAAAAAAAACTACGAGAAATAATTTTTATTTTTTTGGCAATTCCAACGGTTGTCGTCACGATTTTTTATTTTTTTATTTATTTATTTTTTGCGCCGGCCATTTTTTTTTCTTTTACAATTTGTTTTTTTTTCGGTCGTGCGATTAATTTTTTAAGGAACGTTCTAGAAAAGTTTTTTTATTTGGATAAAAAAAAAAAAAAAATTTCTTGTTTTTTTCTTAACGAAAGAACCCGTGGGTGGAATAAATTTTACGAAAAATTTCAACTCCCGGCAATTTTTTTTTTTTTTTTTTTATAGAATTTTCGTGAATAAGATTAACTGGATTAGGTGTAGTAGAACTAACTAACAGAAGTCATTTTTTTTTCTTTTTCACGAATAATCAATTTTAATAATGATGATGATGATGATAATAATAATAATAATGATAATAATGATAAAACAATTGTTTTTTTTCCCCCCATTCGATCTACACATTCGTACTTCTAAATTTTGAAAGTTTCCGTTTACTGATCATTCGTTTTTTGGATAATTTATTTAAAAAATTTTACGATGATAATAATAATAATAATAGTAATAATAATAAAAATAATAATAATGATAATAATAATGACGAAAAGATGAAAAGTTTTGAAAATATGTGTGTAAACCAATCGAATAAGTAAAAGGTTGGAAGAAAAAAGTAGAAATTCGTACGATGATATATCGTGGGATTGTGCGGGGAGGGAAAAATGATTTCGAAAAGTTATCTTATAGCCCCCCTCCCCCTTCCCATTTCTTTGGGGAGCAAAATGAGGTTAAAATTCGAAAAAAAAAATAACTTTAAATAAATAATTTTTTAAACAAAAACAAACGATGAGAGATTTTCAACTTTAAAAGTTTTCATACGTACACGAAAATCGAAAAAAAAAAAAAAATTACACAGTTTATTATCATTATCATCATCATCATCATCATCATCATTATTATTATTATTATTATTGTTATTATTATTATTTTTGTAAATTAAAAGGTAGCGTGAAAAACAAAAAAAATTTTTTTTTTTTTTTTTTGGTACAAATTAACTTTTAATATCGTTTTAAATATATTTTATTTAAATGTTACCGAAAATAAAATTCATCATCCTCTCTCTCTCTCTCTCTCTCTCTCTCTCTCTCTCTCTATAATCCATTAAATTTGCCCTTCGCTTACTCATAACCCCCATAGTTTAATTGAAATAACAATAATAATGATAATAATTAATCAACGTCCAAATTTTAGTTTCTTCCCTTTTATTTTATTTTATTTTTTGATTATTACACGTTAAAACCTTGACCGTACGTATTATTTTAAATCCGAACGTAATAATAATAATAATAGTGGTAGTAATAGTAATAATAATAATAATAATAATAATAATAAACGATTTGATTCGTTAAACAAAGTAATTCTTTTATGAAATTTATTAATAACCTTCGGGGTTAAAATTGAGGATGAAAGAAAAATTTGATTTTTTTCGGCTAAAATATAGCTTGAATCTTATTGTCGTGTAATTAATTTTCCTTTTTTTTTTTTTTTTATTACTTGAACAGATTTTAAGTGAAAAAAAAAATTTGCGTTTTTTTGTTCGTTAATTCTAATGCCACGATTTTTTTTTGTTTTTAAATTAATTTTTTTTTCACTATATCTCTATCGAATGTGAGCGTAAAACAAAAAAAAAACAAAAAATTTTTTTGTGCAATATGTGATTAAAAAAAAAAAAAACCCCTTAGGGTATATTGACGTGAAACTAGAAAACTAAAAAAAAAAAAAACTTGTTTACGGTTTTTTTTTTAAAAATCGAAACTGACCAGAATATTATTTAAAGTTTAAAAAAAAAATTTTTTTTTTTCGTGGCATTAAAAAAAATTATAAAACAAATTTTTTTTTTTTTTTTTTTACTTTCTCGTTTAGTAATAATAATAATAATAATAATAATAATAATAATAATAATAATAATAATAATATTTTTTGTTCGTTCTCTTCGATGATTTTTTTTTTATTTAAATTATTATTATTATTCTTATTGTTATCATTATTATTATTATTGTTATTATTATTTAACGAACGTCACGTAATGTTTTTGCCATGATAGCAAATTGTTTTTTATTTTTTCTTTTGTTCTGCGGATAATTAAATAAAAATAAAATAAATTTTCTTCTTTCTTCTTCACGTTTATAACATTATTATTATTATTATTATTATTATTATTATTATTATTATTATTATTATTATTATTATTCGTTTTTTTTTTAATTTTCTTACCCTTAAACGTGTTCAAAAAAAATTTTTTAACTTTTTTTACGTTTAAACTCATTTTAAAACGAGATTTAAAATTAAACTGCTCTTAAGAGTTGGTTCATTAATTAAATTTCAACAAGTAAATGATTATCACCTTTTTTTTTAGCACCTTTTTTTTTTTTTTTTTAATTCGCGTTGTTATGTTGCCACCACTGCGATTTTTTAAATAATTATTTCGTTTATAAACAAAACTATAAATGACAAAATTTAAATTTTTTTTTCTTTATTTTTATTGTATTTTAATAATTATTATTTAAAAAAATTAGTGTGAAACCGTTACGTATTCAAAATGGCGCTCCTTTCATCAATTTTATTATTATTATCATTATTTTTTTTTTTCCGTGTTTATATTGTCGAGTGTTTAGTTTTCTTTTGTTTGAACAACTTTTTAACGTCATAATGATGATGGGCGTTACGGCGGTTTTTAATAAAAAATTTTCATTTTTCAGTTTGTTGTTAATCCACCATCATTAACATGACGCGTCTAGGCTTTTTATCAAACAAACAAACAAACAAACAAAAAGAAAAGAAAGAAAATGATTAACCTATCGAGGTGATTAATTCAAGATGGACAAAAAGAAAAAAAAATCTCAGGTAAATTTAATTTTAATTAATTTAAAATTAAAATTCGCACGAAAATCCTGTCGCGTATAAAATGTCTAATCACAAACTCATAGTAGTAATTATGTCGTGGCATCAGAATTTTTTTTTTTTCGCGCGCGCAAATTTCCAATCGAACACCTGTCTGTCAATGCTTGTTTTTCATTTCAACCCGAAATATTTTCGTCAAAAATTTGCTGACAACCGTGGGGTGACCCAAATCAAAACGTGATCACCCACATACATGTAAGAAGAGGCTCTCATATTTCAATTTGAAATTTGATATTCTTTCAGGTCAGGATTGATGTCGTCGTCGTCGTTGGTTGTTGCCTTAAATTTTATTTTAGGCGGGTTTTAAATTCTTTTTTTTTTCGTTTCTTACCATATGAGTCCGTCAACAACTTGCGTTCGTGTCGCGCAGCAAAAAAAAATTTTTTTTTTTTTTTGCCCTCAATAAAAATTGTCGTCAGTTCACGTGTTTTTTTCTTCTGCTATTATTACTTATTTTGAATAGAAATGCATATTGATTCGGTTCATCGGTGACACCGTTTTGTTATTATGATTTACGTGTCGCCTGATACAAAAAAAAAAAAAACGGTTGTCGGTTCGATCGTAGAAGGTGTTTTTCTTCGGATACCAGGTAACATAAAATGTTTGAAAATCGTGTGTGTGCGTTTGTATGTGTAAACGTTCCAAGGTCGATACCTCCTCCTACTCCTCCTCTTTCTTTTGTCTTTTTTCAGAGTCTTCCTAACATTATTTCTCGTCATCATCTTTTACCTTTGATTCGAATCATTTCTTCTTTTTCCCTCTCCCCTCCCCTCCCTTTATTTCCTTTTACCTCGCTTGTTACGTAAGAAACTTTTTATTTTCCGGGGTTTTTTTTTTTTTTTTAAACATCATCATTACGGTATAAAAACAAATTTAAAAAAAATTATTTTTAAACTATTTTTAACGAAACCAACCTTTCGCAATCGGAAGGTTTTATATTTTTCTTTAATGACGTCAAATAACCAAAACAAAAAAGTCGTCAAGGCGATCGATTCATACCCCGGAAACTCTTGTTATTTTCAATATGTAATTAACCGGGTGTCATTCAAAGGCGTAAAAAAAAAAAAAAAACAGTTACTCAACTTTTTCCTGATTTCGTATAACGTTTATTTTACCTTCGTAAACGTATAGTAGTAATAAAAAAAATTTTTAAATCATTCAATCAATCAATCAGTCAATCATTCATTTTTTTAAATTTTGTTAATTATCGTGGATTCCACTTGAAAACTGCGAATTCCACTTGAAAAAACGAAATTTCATTCACTCGTGTTTATCCTCTTTTTGGTTTGTGTTATCCTGTTTTGTATAAACAGGATAAAACAATCAAATCATCTAACAGGTTTTAATTTGTAATTTGATTAGTAGTAGTAGAATTAATTAACGTAATCAATATCTACCTTTTAAATGTTGACTCGTCGGTTAATTTTTTAGCCAAAAAAATTTGTTTCCCCTCCTCCCCCTCCCTCCCTCCCTCCCAATCAAGCACGCATTCAAAATTATCGGTTACGGTTAATATTAATAATAATAATAATAATAATTCGATGGAAATCAATTATGTTATACAGTTAGGAAATTTTAGTTAAATAAAAAATCAGTTCAAGGTACACAAAAACGAAGAGTGTGTGCGTGTGTGCGTGCGTGCGTGTGCCTGTGCCTGTGTTTGCTAATAACTGTTTTATGCGTAAAAGTTTTATAACGAAACAAAAAAAAAACCGTTTGTTTTCATGTGCGTGTTTTTATAGAAATTTCCCACAGAAATTGTGACGGACAAAAACTTAGCGTGATCCTTTATTTTCGTCGTTTCAAAACAATGAGAGATAGTTTTCGAGGGGAGAGAGAGAGAGAGAGAGAGACAAAGATTGTTCACACGGATTTCAAATCCGATGGGATTATATGAGAGAGAGAGAGAGAGAGAGAGGGAAAAGGTCGCCGCGATTCGATTCGCTTTCGAATCGAAATGTCACGAAATCATTTTTCTTTTTTTATAAGTCACACACGTGCACACGCACACACGCACACGTACACACACAAACCGTATTTAAATCGTTTTTTTTTCTTTTTTTTGATTCATAAAATTAATCTTAAAGTTTTTATTTTGTTTGACAACCGAAAAATGACGACGACGACGTCAGAATTTAACAAAAAAAAAAAAAAAATTCTACAAATTAACTATGGTCGTGAATTAATTTCATAATTTTCAATTTTTTCAGTTAAAAATCAACGACTTTGTTTTCACCATTTTTATTTATTTTCTCTATGACTTTTTTTTCTTTTACATTTGACGACAAAGCGTTTCCGTTCGCGAAAAATTTATTTTTTAAAATTTTTTAATAACTAATTTAAGAAAACGGACTGCAATTAATTATTTAATCATTATTAATAAATTTTAATAATAATAATAATAATAATAATAATAATAATAATAATTGTGTTCGTTGAGCGAATCTTTTAATACTACGGTCAATCACGAGAAAATTCATGACCCGTTTTTTTTTTTTTTTTTTTAAATATATTAAAATCCCGCGTGTGTCACTATCATTTAAAAACGATAAGAAGAAAAAAAATTTAACCGAATTTAAAAGAATTTTATAATAATAATAATAATGATGATGATGATGATGATGATGACGATGAGTTTTTTTTTATTTCCAAAAACGGGATCCACACGGAAAAGAATTATAGGATCATCACGTTTACAAATATGTGTAACGATTATCATCATCATCATCATCATTATGAGTAAATTTCATTGGGGAGACGGGCTAACCTTTATTATTATTATTATTATTATGAGATTTCAGCTTTCTAATATGGATAAATTCCGGTTTAAGGAGGTAATAAATGATGTTATGACTAATATATATATATATATAATAACGATTACGTGAGAATCTCGTTTTTTTTTTCTTTTAAATGTTTGCTATTAATTAAATTTAAAAAATAAATAAATAAATAAATAAATTACAGGAGGTTTAAAAGAAAATTACGCAAGGTATGTAGAGCAAATAAGGGGGAGAGCAAAAAAAAAAAGGAGATTAATGGCAAACGTTTAGGGTGACAAACAAGTCACACACACTTTTTTTTTTAAATGAATAAACGCTTTGTTGTTTGTTGAAAACACACAACAACAACAACCGCAAAAACGGTTTACAACGACGATTGCTGAACAAAAAAAAAAAAATTCAAAATGGTCGTCGTCGTCGTCTGACAATGATTGGTTTTTTTTTAATATCTCATGCGTAAAAATTATATATATAAATTTTAAAATGAATAAGGTATGCGTTTGTTTAACTTGTGACGTATCGTACCTGAAATTTTATTTTTTATTTTTTTTTTTAAATTTTCCAGTTAAACAAAAACAATAATTTTTTTTTTTTTTTTTTTTTTACGATGATGTCGAAAAAACCATAAAATTTTAAAAAACGAGTCGTCTGGTACCTTTTTCCCTTCCCCCTCCTTCCTACCCCCCTCTTCTTCCTTCATCTTTAAAGAAATAAAAATGGTTCGAGTGGAAACGAAAAAAAAAAAAAATTCATTCAAAATCGTTCGCGACGAAAAATTTCTGCGGGGTTATAATTTTAGGTCGTGGCAGTGGCGAATTAAAACAAAACAAACTACCGGAAGTTGAAAAAAAAAACCGGAAAACACGATTAACTAAAACAAACAAGGTCGATAAAAATCTTTTTTAATAATAAAATAAATAAATAAATGTATGTATGTATAATTATTACAAAAGAGTGAAAGAAAACATAATTTGTGTTACACATCGAAGGGCAAGAAATTTGGCAACAGAGCACATAAACTTTTTATGTTAGCGGTATTTTCATTTTTTTTACCGGATTTCATAACAATTCACTATTACATAGTCGTGAAGAAAAAAATAAAAAAAAAAGTTTTTTAACGTTAAATATTTTTTTTTTTTATTTAAATTTTTGGTGTGTTTTTATTCGAAAGACAAACAAACAACAACCAACAAAAACAACCAATCCATACAAAACAATTTAAAAAAAAAAAAAAAAATATTCTCCCAATAAATAATGATTTTATTAAAATTTGTGTATTTTTTTTTCGCAGGTACCTACGAAATGTTTTTTAAACAATAATAATGATAATAATAATTAGGATAAAATAAAATAAATAAAAACTTACGAATTAATATTTTAAAAAAAAGAAAAAATCCTCAAAATAAAAAAGAGAGAAAAAGAACAAACAACAAACAACAAATTCTGGTACACGAAGAAAAAAAATAACTCGTGAGAGAAGCCACGCAGGCAGGCAGGCAGGCAGGCAGACAACTGGCGACTGAAATGCCCCTGAACTGAATGGGTCTTGCACCTGAAGACCTTGAAGGGAGTATATACGAGGTGGGTGAATGCCTGAAATGTTCAGGTTTTTTTTTTTTTTTTTTAATTTTCCGTTTGCCATTAATGATTGATTCATTTTTTTTTTTTTTTTCATTTTTTCCGTTCCGGGTATACAAGACAAAAAAAAAAATTATTTAACTTTATCATCATCGTATAAAACTTTACAACAAACAACAAACAATAATAATAATAGTAAAAAAAAATTTAATGAATTGAAAAAAACAGACATTTTTTTTTTTTTAAATGTTCATCGTCCGTTAAGTTCATCGTTCTTTCTTTCTTTCTTTTTTTAAACCGGAAATCCTTCTCGAAATTAAAAAAAAAAAAATTTTTTTTCTCTTTGCGTTTTTAAAATCAATTTTTTTTATAAAAAAGGAGAAAAGAAAATGGCGTCGTTTGGGCGTTTAGAGAGAGAGAGAGAGATTTGAAGAGAGTAAATAAAACACGAGTCGAAATAAATAAATATATCAAAA